TCAACTGCAGGGAAGTCTGAATTTACCCAGGGCTGGTCAAATCTGGGCAAATTTGCTGTGAAGCTCCAACAGGCCAGAGTGTGGAAACTGAGGACACTGACACTGGCTAATGCAGACTCCATACATATAACCAGTTCACCTTGCTCAAAAATTTGTTTGCTGACTTACTGTTTACAAAACATAAGCCTCTGAGGGCAGGGCCTTATTTGCCACTGTCATCCCACCAAGTTGCTCCAGCATCTTCTTGAGCCAGTGAGTCGATGAGGAGGGGAAGAGGCGAGGGCTCTGGCACAGGAGAGAGGCGTGAGAGATTATGAGCCGGTGGGTGCAGGCAGATGTCTGAATGCACAGGTTCTGGGGGAATCAGGTCTGGAGAGGCCCTGCTTGGGACCTGGGGCTGAAGCCTTGTGGAGGTAGGGTGACCTGATCTATCTTGGTTCGCTCAGGATTTTCATGCCGAACATCTTACTGCTCAGTCCTGGCTCACTGGGCCAACTGGTCATTCTGCATTTGAGAAGATCTCAGAGAACCCGAGACTGAGGCACACCCTATGTGTGCCCCCTGGCCAGGTTTTCTTTTCAGTGAAATGAACCATCTTTGTAGCCCTGAACTTAGGAATAACAACCGTGCTATATGTGGCAAACGCTTCCAAGAGTGAGGGCATCAAAGTGCAGCATTTTCAAGTCTCCAAGTTAAATGCATTGTTCCAGAGCCTTCACAAAAGGCTACATAGCAAAGTCACCCACTGAGCTCTTTCTTTCTATTGAAAAGTTAACTGCTCATTCATGGTAATAGTATCGATTTTCTTAGAACTGCAATAATGCCAATTATTGTAATATTACATATAAGGATTACATGTAAATATCATAAATTTTATTTAACTGAGCACGGAAATTATATCAGGAATGAAATAGTAGTCTTTGGTTAAATAGACATAGCTAGTTTTGAAAACAGATTTTATACTCCACACGTGCATGCTATCCCACAAACTAGAGCTTCATGCAATTTAACAGAATTGACTTGCTGTCCTGCAACCAAATAAAGTTAATAAATGAGTCTAGAGAAGTTTTATTCTTAGAACAATATTTACTGATTAAATTATTAAAAATTAAATACAAACCTCTGGAAATACTATAGAAATACATGTTGAACAAAAAAAAAATTAATAATGAGTCTGTATATGCAAGGAGTGTTGAAATAAATAACATCAGAATGACACTCCAAGATGACACCATGGATTGGTAAATCATTGTAAATAGGAACATGGTGTTCAGGAGAGCTTATTCATAGAAACAAGAGAAGACTTTCCCAGCTTATTTAGAGGAAGATTACTGGAAATAGAGTTCTTTGCTGTGAACAACAGTAGAGAATCATTATGTACTGCTGGGATGCCTGTATACACCTATGTTTATGTCAGAGACTTGAAAATCCTTTCTATGTGTCCCACTTGAAATTAACACAGCAGATTTGTTGAATTCTTGTAAATTTGTATTCAATATTATATCAAAGACAATTAGAAAACTTAAAGAACTCATATCTCTTCCACAAATGTAGGTACTAGTGGTTAATGAAAGAAAACAAATGTTGTTCTGCTAGGTTTTGGCACACATCTCAGTTATTTAATAGGCACGCTAAGAAAGTATCCTAAATGCCCAATTTTAAAACTAAGCCTTGAATTTTGCTTATATTAAACATTTTACTCCCAGATAATTGTGGATTCAAGATAACTGTGAATTCACAAGCAGCTGTAAGGTATTATACAAAGAAACCTTATGTCTTTTTACCATCTCCACCAATGAGAACTATATTACAATATCACTACCAGGATTCTGACATTGGCACAGTCAAGATATAGAAAATTTCCATTACCACAAAGATCCCTGTGTTACACTCACATTCCTCCCTGACATCTCCTGATCTGCTTTTTATTTCTAGAATTTTGCACTTCAAAATATTCTGTGAATGCAATTATACAGTATATAACCTTTTGGGATTGGCTCTTTAATCCAGCCTGCATTTCTGGAGCATCATCCAGGTTGTTGCTTGTATCAGCCATCAGTTCCTTTTCATGGCGGAGCAGTATTGCATGCATGGATACATCACACTTAGCCTCACGAGTCATCCATGAGAAGACTTCTGATTGATTAGTTTTTGAATATTATGCATAAAGCTGCTGTGAACATTCATGTACAAGTTTTTATGTGAACATAACTCTTTTGTTTCTTTGGAATAAAAGCCCAGGATTACAATTGCTTAGTAGTAGGCAACTACATGATTAGTTTAATAAGAAACTGTTAAATGGTTTAACTGTTAAATGGTTTAACTGTTAAATGGCTAGTCCCATGTTACATTTCCACCAGGTATAAAGGACTAATCCAGTTTCTCTGCATTCTTGAGGGTACTTTATTTAATTATATTCCATGTTAGTAGATATGAAGTATTTTAGTAGATACGAAGTATTTTTCCTACTGGTTTAAATTTCTACTTCCTTAGTAAACAATGATGTGGAATATCTTCTCATGTTCTTACTTGCTATTTGCAGATTCTCTTCAGGAAAATGTCTGCTCATGTTCTCCATTTTCAATGAATTTCTTTTAAACTGTTGGGTTTTGTTTTTCAACATATTTATTGAAAAGAGTATCTGTATTATCAAAAAAATCAATTGAGCATAATCATTTAGGTCTATTTCTAGATTTTCTATTCTTTTCCATTGATCTCTCTGTGTCTTCAGCAGTCCCAGCAGCCACATACATAACTAGACCTTTACTTTGGATAGAGTGATTCTTCCACTTTATCCTCTTTTACACGCATGTCTAAGCTATTCCAAGGCCTGTAACTTGGGACTTTTAGGAGCTTGTGTATGTCTACAAAATCACTGCAGAGTTCCGATAGAAATGGCATTAAACCTATAGATCAATTTGTGTGGGAAATACACACTTCTTTACTTGGCAGTGTCTTCCAATCCATAAGCATGGGATGTTCCTTCATTAATTTAAGTCTTTAATTTATTTGATTAGCATCTTTAATTTTCTACATAAAGATTCTATGTATATACTTTTAAATTCTCTTTAAGTATTTATTGTCTCTGGATTGATTACAAGTATTATGTTTTAAATTTTGGTTTCCACATGTTCATTGCTATTATATAAAAATGCAATTAAATTTTGTGTGGTGACCTTGTATCCTGAGACCTTGCTGTTCTCACTCACTAGTTCTGTTTTAAAAAATAGATTCTTTGGAATTTTCTACATAGATAAAACATCATTTGTAAGTAGACTTTTATTTCATTCTTTCTGGTCACATTCATTTTATTTTGGGGGCTTGTTACAGTGTCTGGAACTTCCCATATACCGTTTAACATTTTTATTCATGTAAATTTCTACAGAGTTGCTGAAACTTACTGGCCTGAATGGGCATCATCGGACTCAAAGTTAGGCATTTTATATACTCTGCTTATTGACCAACTTGTTAAGATTCCATTGCCTGTAATTTCAATAAATATCTGATAACATTTATCATTGCTAATGAGTGGTATCCACACTGCCAAACCCACTGATGCAGCGGCATAACCTTTAATGAGCAAAGTGGAACCTTACTGTCAAAGCAAACCTAGACAAGGAGCTTCATCCACAAGACAGGATCAGGAGGCAGGGTTGCTTCAAACATTAAGGTTTGAGGTTGATATATGGGGTACAGGTTTGTTCTTCCAGTTTCCCCCTCCTACCTCTAAACTGGGGGTAGCAACAGTTTTAAATTCTGGAATATGAAATACCCTTATTTAGTTCTTATATATTAGAAATCGCCACTGTTAGGAATGCTTGAAAATTGGCTTTTGATAAATAAACAACTCTATGCACCCCTATGCTTTTACTTACAGCCATTTAAAATATATTTTGACAACTCAAACTCTCTTCATGCCTTCATTTTTAAAGGGTTAAAAGTAGTAACACTTTTCTTAAATTTTAAAATGCACGTTTCATGTGATTTCTTGATGTTTTACGTTACCTAACTCACCAAAAAGATTTTACAGCTATTGAAGGAGAGAAAACTAGGTGTTGCTAGATCCTTGATAGATTTCAATCAAGAGTTAGTGGATATGTACATGTAGATCCTTGTAGGTGTTAGATGCATATGGTGCATGGAGTTTCTCACAAGCCTCATGAGCTTCTAAATATAATTTGTCCAAAATTTAAAATATGTACGAAGAATCAAACTTCAGAGACTTTTTGGAGCAGAAAACAGCAGCAGATCATCAGGTTAGTTGTCACATTACTGATTTTCCCAGTTCTCTGACTACATATAAGTGTCAGTAACTCTGAAATCTTCAAGGAATCACTCCATCCATGGCATTTGGTGAGTTCTGGATGTTGATTTAGTCTCTGTGAGTCTCAGTTTTCCTGACTGTCAGCAGCAAGGAATGATAATGCCTCTCCATGGCCACAAGTCTTAAATGAGATGATGATGTTCACGGTGCTCACCTGGGCAGAGAGCTTGCTTTCCAGGATTGACTTTTCTTTCCTTGTTCTTTTTTGTTGCTTTTGCACCTTTCTCTGGTTCACTTTTCCCCTCTCCTCTCTAGATCGCAGAATGAGGTGCTTCTTCCTTTGGTTGCAATTCAAATGCTTGAGAGCAGGAAGCTCTCTATCAAGCTGAGGGACCTTGAAGCCTGATGTGGAAGCTCCCCTCGTGTTACTGTGGCCTCTGGGCGGCTCACACAGATCAGGGCTGTGCGCACGGCTCCTCGTGTCACAGTAGGGTCAAGCGTCACATGCCACCAGTACATTCCAGCGAGTGGGATTTAATGCATGTGTAATCCAGTGGTGTGATGAACAATTCATACATAAATATCCTTGCGCCCTCACCCTAAACACAAGACTGTGGCTGAGGGAGGCCCATTTAGTTCCTTTTGTTGTGTCACTTAGAACCAAGACACTGCTTTTGGCATAGCAAGTAACAAAGATTCTCTCACGATACAAAGCAATCACGTTGTACATACAGGCTTTTTTTTTTTTTTTTTTTGGTCTTGAAGAATGGAACGTGTCCTTTTGACAACCAAAATGATTCCCAAGTAAGTGAATGCAGTCTGGAAAACAGCATAAACACACTATGTGAAGTGCCTGTATGAATGGGAGAGTGGCAAAGGGCCACTCTGAGCTCTGGCCTAGCACAGGGCTCCCTGGCCGCCCTGTCTCTTCTGCTGTGAGAATGACAGGGCTGCTCTGAACCCTTCAATAAAGAACAGCAGGCAATGGCTGTCTGCTGCAGCATTCAAAGGTTTTCATTTTATGCAAACACTGAGGGTTCTCTTCTTACTTCATCAGGCCTTTCTTGGAACTGCTTTGAAATATTCCTCTCTTGAAATGTCAGACACTCCACCATACCATTTCTGAAGCCAGATATGTTCTATCCTCATCTTCATAAAGAACCATTCATACTGCCGAGGCCACTTTCTGAGAACTGGGTGTCTGCAGAAATAAAGGACAAGTCACCGTAGTGTTCTTAACACAGGGTGTGCCCGCCAGCCTAGGCCCAGGTCATAGCAACCTGCAAATGCCTAGTGTCAAAACAGCCAGAGACAGAAGCCTGGGAGCCAGCTAGGGTGTCTAGAGCAGCTGAGCAAGGCTGGAAACTGTTGTCCCCATCAAGTGGTGGCCAACTCGTTTCTTGAGTCAGTCTCCTTGGCTTGAATCCCGGGGCCAGCTGTGATGCCTCATTGCCCTGTCAAGCCTAGGCCCTTACCTGTCATGGGCATGACCATGGTGGTCTCAGGTCACAGGGCTTTGTGGGCGCAGAGAGTAAGTGACCAGGAGTGTTAGTGATTGTCAGGAAACACAAGGGTTTTATGCGTTTCTGTGTGAAATGTCCGAAGGCTTGTGAGCCCCTCCAACAAATCTGCTCACAGAAATACTTCCACTCTGGCAACACATTCATAACTGCTGAGCCAGTAGAAGCCATCCGAGTGGGCAGGGGGGCACTCACGCTCTGCTCAGCCCTCTGCCATCTGTGACTCACCAGCACTCCCGCCCCACCCCCACACTCCCCCCCTAAGCCTAGCCCTGAACACTTTATTATCTTTAAGGGCAGGGGCTGGGGCTCACCCTATAAAAATTCATAAAAATAAAATTTTGTTTCAATAATGCAAAGGCCAAGTGCAAACTGGGCAAAGCATTTGTCCAAATAAATGGCAATAATAGGTGACCTTTAAGAGACTATTTTGAAACAAACTTATAAAAAAGTTGAGAGTCCGGTATTAAGAACATTTATTTCCCTAAATTATTTAGAAGCCAGCTGTTGATATGATGCCCCAACTCCCCCAAATATGCATGCAACTAAGAGAATAAGATGATTGTTGTTATTTTAAACTTGTTTTGTATTTGTAGCCAGAACAAAGTTGGTATCTGCAAGTCGGGGGCAGGTGTAACAAATCCCAATCCACAGAGTACTGGCTTTGGGTCCCAGCAGTGAGGAGAAATGAGAAGGACCGCAGGGGGAAAGACAATGCCAGCTTAAAAGAAAGTAAAAACAGGCACTGCAGGTGGAGGTGAAGGGCATGTTAGTGGTGGAAAATTTGGCAACACTGCTGCCTGCAGCGAAGTAGAAAATAGTAAATGAAATGAAGAAACCCAG